TGAAAATGATAAGTTACGACAAAATATGAACTCTAATAATTATTGTTACATTGATGAATGAAAAGATGGCTTTTTTTTGTTATGTAAAAATGTAACAATCATTAATGGAAAGAATAATAAACAAGCAAATTGTGACAACTTTTCTGAATGTATCATTACAATTGTCTTTTATCACCAATGAAATTTATAAGCAATAAGACTAAAGAGAGGATAAAATGAAATGTTAAGAAAAGAAGGTTTTGTTGAAGAGGAAGCCAAAGAATATCAAACAATAGTTGTATCCATGAAAATGATAACAATGGAACATCTTATTTCACATTTACAAAGAATTGATATATCTGGTGACAAAGAGAATTTAATTGCTAGAAAAAAATAAGGAAATCGATAAGATGGAATTCCATCAAAAATGGATGGAACCAAAATTATTAATCGGAGCAGATTATTTCTTCGAATTTCAACTAACAATGATTGATAAAGAAGCCAACGAGTAGATTTTGACTTATATGAGCAGATCAGTTAGCTATGTTATAGCTGGAAACGGTATTCTGAAGGATGCCAGAATCAATTCAACCACACTTATGTTCAATCATAAGTAAAGCAGATGACTTCATTGATGTTGTTCAGTTTTGGAAATTAGAATTACTGGGAATAAATGAGTCATCAGATGAAGATGAAAATGAATTCACTATGCAACAATTCCAGAAAATTATATGCAAAGAAGAAGAAAGATATATAGTTAGGATGGCTATGGAATAATCTCAAAATTAAGCTGCCATCTAATTTTGGACTTTGTTTTGATTAGACTCCAATCAAAGTAGATTCTGTAATTGAAAAAGTTACGAGCTTAAGTTGAACTAATGAAGAAATACGATAATACAGTAAAAGAAGAGCTAAAAAATGAAATCATCGAAAAAGTAAAGGACAATTAGAAGCATAAAAGACTAATTCACTATCATTCTTATCAAGTGATAATCACTTCATGAAAGCACTCTACTAAATTTCTTTTTGATGCTTCGGCTAAAATATTAACCAAAAAATAACTTCAACGATTTCTTACACATGCGATCAATGATGCTAAATAATCTGTGCGGAATCTTACTGCGATTCCGTTTAATGAATTTTGTAGTCGTGTGTGACATTGTGTGTGACAGCTTACCATCAAATAACATTAAATGAAATAAGCCGCGGTGTCATTCGTTTTTTTTCTTTTTTTGACTTCGAAACTATAATGCTCCAATGAAACAAAAGAATCTAATCATTTACAGATTCCGACAAGGTACCATTTGGTATTATTTCATTACCATTTCTACTTGCAGCAGCAAACACGTACCATTCAAAATCGTTTAGATGAAATTAAAGAAATAAAAATAAATTTCGAATATGTGCCTACAGTTGATAATCCTGCAGAAGTAACCAAAAATAGCCTACAGTTGACAGTAGCCTACAGTTGACGATCATGTAGATGTAGTCAGTAAAGGAACAAAAATCAGTGAGCTAAAGAATAACTCTTTGTGGTGGAATTGACCTAGCTGGTTATCTGAATTGAAAATTGCTTGGCCAACAATATCAATTTACGATGATGAAGACAGAGCTGTATTGGAACATAATGAAGAAAAAGAAGAAAAGGGAAATCTTTTGGATATTGAACAATTATTCAAATATTCAAATTTATTAAAATTATTTGGTACAACAATTACCAATCATCAAAAGTGTTTGTAAAAATCCATCCATTACCACCGATGATTACAGCAGTATCTTATCAAAGAAGCTCAGAAAAATGAAGTCATAGAATAAGCAAAAAAAAAAAGAAAAGAAGTGATAACTAACAATCTATAATCATGAATTGCTATAATACAATGAATATATATAACAGAATCTGAGTTGAACAAGAATCCTCTCTATCCAATTTATCTAGCACAAAGATGTAGAATAACAGAATCTGAATTGAACAAGAATCCTCGATCTATCCAATTTATCTACCATAAAGATGTAAAATAACATCATTGATTATCATGAATGCACATGAAAAAAATGTCTCACAGTAGGAACAAATCAAATACTATCTAAATTAAGATAGGATTTCTGGATAGAAAGTGGAAAGAATACGGTGAAAAATATCATCAAAAGAGATTGCATACTGTATAAACGATGGAACAATAAACCGTTCCAACTACCGTATTATCTACCATATTCAAAAGAATACATACAATGTTCATCCGTATTTACGAATATTGGATTAGTCTAGTTAACATTAGATGACAATTATTAACTACCAAACGATGTATTACATTATTTTGTTGTTTGACTACTTAAAATGGCATAGGATTTAAGTGCGAAAAGCTTTTCTACATAATGCTACGATAATTTATTACATGTCATGGAATATTATCATAAATAATTGTAAGTAACAATTCATCTAACTTTAAAGCGATAACTGAGATATATAATGGTAATCTCAAAGAAAATTCTTCAGTATTTTATTAATGTAACAATAAAATTCAATGAAATATATTACTCTTTATATGCCAAGGTAAGGAGGAATATATGAACAATTAATTGAATTAACAAAGTTAGCATTTAAATGAACTGTGGGAATTGATTACGATCACTACAGAAATTGAAGCCATCTTAAATTCGAAATACAAATGACGGAAAATTAGATACTTCGTCTTATTGATATTTCATAAATCCTTCGGTTAAACTTGGTGGTCCACTCTGGGAAAAGGAATCGTATGATAAAGATTATGAGATGAGTGGAAGTTCGATATAAAAAAAAAAAAGAAAAAAAAATTAGAAGACGATTTCGGAAAACAAATCAAAATATAGACCAATTTTGGATGCAATGGGAACGAAATTATTTTTTTAGTTTAAGAGAATAATAGCAAATGGAACATTAACAAAGACGAAGTTTAACTGAAAGAGAAATAAAATAGTACTTGTAATGAAGGAAGAACAACTAAGAATAATCTGGAAGTTAGGAATCATTAAAGAGATGAAATTAGGTAGAGAAGTGTAAGTCGTATTCGTCGCAGACGACTGCGCAACAATTACAAATTAATCAAGCCGATAAATTTATATTGATCCCTTTGAAAATTAGAAGTCAAAATAAACAGGAAAAGAAATATCGAACAAACAGAATGAAATTAAAAGAAATTAAAAAGACGTAAGTAAAGGGAAGGAATTAATAAGATCTCATTTGCTGACAATCATTAGGAGTAAAACAGAGGGAAAGATGAAGTTAATGGTTTTTTAGTATTGTAAGAAACTTATCCTAAACTTATTGTAACTTGATATTTTCTGGATTAGTAATGGTTAAAAATGAAACAAAATATCAGCTACTCAATGGAATTTTTACATTTTCTCTCTCAGATGGAAAAAATGAACAAAACGAATAAATGACAAATTTTCATTCCAATTTGTTAAAAATGATCATAGAGGAAACATTTGCAAAAATAAATTTTGTATGATTTACCAACGAAAGAGCACGAGAATCAAATCGATTCATGTCACATTATTTCATCGTCGGGAGTGTCACGAATAAACGCGACGAAGTTAGAATGTCGCGAACAAACGCGACGAAGTTAGAGTGTCGCGAATAAACGCGAAAAAGAAAAATATAAAAAAAAAGAGTCATCCAAATTCTTTTCTGCACACTTAGGCTGATGCTACAATCATGTGCGGAATTGTATTTGTGCTTGTTGTTTGCAATATGCGCTAACAGAAGCGAGCGACAGAAGCGCCAATCTATGCAATCTTTGAACTACATCTATGAAGGATAATGATAATGGTAATGATAATATTGTTCTTTCCTGTTATTCATCAAATTGGTGTCTTTAAACTTTATCTTGTAACGTACTTTTTTTTTTTTTAGAGCTTACTTTTATGCGTTAATTTGTATTTTGTAATTCTTAATGATTATACGACGTGAATATTGTCTCTTTTATCTAATGATTTAATTATCCAAGTTTGAGATGGAAATAAAGAGAAAATTTGCAACTCTGTGTTATGATGTGCAAGATACTTCAAGAATATAGGAAATTTCACAATAAGATCTTACTTCAGTTTACTGTCCTTATCACAGAAATTACTGTAATATTGCGGTTGCTGAAGTTTTGAAATTCCATTGTAACCAAATGATATTTGCAAAGAAGCCAAGTAACACAGTGCCTGGAGCCTAAGTCAATAGAATTGGCCTTCAAGAAACTAATAGCTAAATAAGTAGAAGCATTTTAGGTATCATTCTTATCACTATTAATTGGAAGTAACTTGGTCTACATTCATCTCTCTGTGTGAAATATTGTTCATCTAAAGGGGAAACAGTAAAAAAGTAATGTGGTGAATTATGAAATGACGAATAAAAATCTGAGAATATGTGAAATCTCAGTCATAACTAATGAATAGTTCCATACTTCAATATATAACCTGAGAATTATTCACGATTGGATTTTGTTTTACGGTTCGTTGTTGTGAAAAAAAAAAACACGGCGAAATTTACAAGTAAATTCTATTTAAGTGGAAGAAATTCAGGAAAAAGGTATGTTTTTAACTTATTATCACTCTTTTTTCCAATGAAAATGGTAATCTGATGGTAAACATCGTTCTCCACTTTGTCCACTTCCGGTCACTTTTTCCCTTTTTGCTAGCAAACAGTTTTTAGAATCCAGTAGATTTTTAATAATGTTCTGATTGTAATTTGAAAGTAACATCTTTGCCATACGTCAATAATGTGAGATATTTACGTAAATAGAACAGTTCCACATAACACGTGAAATCACTCGAAACCCTTTGGCTGATACTTTGACACCTGTGGGATTATGGATTTTCATAAGGAAGACATCCGTCGTAAACTAATCTGAGACCGTTTCTGGTGTTGTTCTTTGATTCCAGTTTTAGAGCAACAAGCTTTACGGACTTTACGTGTACGTGCATGTGTTGATTTGTTGCATTTGTTATATCAGTTATATCGTTTGTTTCTTTTTTTCCAGTTAATTGCACGAATAATGGGTAAATATGAGAAGGGAACACCGAAAGAAATTGCCAATCGATGCAAATCAAAAGGTTTACAAAAACTGAGATGGTATGGCATCATTATACATTCATATTATTTTCTCTGATTAACTGCATAAGCTAAAAATGAAAAATTTTTGCATTGTTTTAATCCGTTAATTCATGTATTTTGTAGTATTTCAGGTTTTGTCAAATGTGCAAGAAACAGTGTCGCGATCAGAATGGCTTCAAATGTCATTTGACGAGTGAAACTCATCAACGGCAATTGTTATTGTTTGCCGAAAATCCAAACACTTATCTAAAGGAGTACAGTGAAGAGTTTGAAAAGAATTTTCTGAAGGTAGCACTTTACTGGTATATGCTGCTGCGTGGATTTTTCTATGGAAAATTTTATATTTATCTGACCACTTCTTTCTTTTTTCTCTATCATTTCTCTGTTTCAGTCATAAGTTGCAGATGACATATGCTACTTTTTTTTACATGAAATACTGTTTCCTCCGGATTGACTTCGTAAAAACATACTGCTAATTTAATTGCTAGTACCTGGGATAGCGTTGCTTTAGGTTAGTCGGCTAGTGTTTAACATTTTGTTTGATACTGCTTATTGTAATCTCAAATTTTTTCGTTCTGTCAGTGTTGCAGTAATGAACTAGTTTGGCTTGTTTACACTTATTATCAACTCTCTGGAATACAGTATTTGCATAAATGTGGTTGGATAACAGAAAATGGAAAGGAAGGGAATAGAGAGGAAAAAATATTACTGAAAAATGATTCACTGATATGGCAAAGAATCACTTTTTGATGACAGAAAAAAAAAATCACTTTTGATAATTTTTTTCCCAGGTATTACGAAGCACTTTTGGTACGAAACGCGTTCGTGCCAATGAAGTTTATCAGGAATACATTCGTGATAAAATGCATACGCATATGAATTCAACCAAATGGCATACTCTAACGAATTTTGTTATTTATCTTGGGAAATCGGGCAAATGTCACGTTGATCAAACAGAGAAGGGTCAATTTCTTTTTTCTTCTGTCTGGTTTATTTTCTGTGCATTTATTATTCATTATTTGTGACGTGCTGCACTGCATTTTGCAACTAGTTTCAAAATATCTCTCTTGCTTTTTTTGCTGATATTCTTCAGTTCTTATTTCATTTAATTTATGCGATTTTCTCTCAAGAAGAGGTACATTTCGTTGAGTAACTGTTTTAATTTTGATGGGAAAACAGGAAAGAAATTACATCAATGGTCATGCAATGGAATTTGAAATGTCACTCCACAGTCTCAGTACTATAATTGTTTGAACTACTGCTTTCTCAAAATGTTATTTGGAAGTCTTTGAAATAAGTAAAATAATCTTTTAGGTTGGTTTATTGCATGGATTGATCAACAAGAAGAGCTCAGAAAGCAGGAAGCGTTGCATAAGGTTAAAGCAATACATGATGATGAAGAACGGTTGCAGCAATTACTGGAGGGACAAGCAGAAAGGTATTTATCCAATACTAGTAGCACTTGCCTATGTTCTGAAGTAGATTTGATACCACCGTTTTTTGTCGATGAACTTATATTCGCTAAAATGAATTTAAATTTGAGTGTAAAACGAAATATCAATTGAGATAAGACTTACTTTCAAAACTGCTTACTTTTATCTAATTACAAGGAACATATTAACTTTTAAAGAGCTCGTGAAAAACAACAGAAATCATTAGAATCAAGTAAAAGCCATCCCACGGAATTACTTCGTACCGGTGATGATGAGAAAATTACTTTTTCTTTGGCGACGAAGAAGCCAACTGATGAGGTGAGCGATAATTATATTTCTACTCTTAGAATGAAGTTTCCTCATAAAAAAATGATTTAGTGAGGCATTATCAACTATTATCCACTATGCAAGATTGAATTTGCATGAATGAATGTTCTATTCCTTAAACATAAGCATAACAAATCAAAATTATAGATTTAATATTGACTAACTTCTCAACCATTGTTGATTGATTAATTAACCATCCATATAGAAAATATTCCAGATCTTATAAAAATTTTTTTCTGAACTTTGGTGACGTTGGGTTGTCGTACTCATATCTTTTAAAATGGAGGACCTGTCAAGTAAATAGTGACACCGACTGATTGCTAACAGTTTTTAATGATTTAGTTTTTGATTCAGTATTTTCTTAACTAGTATTAGTTTGCAGGAACTCACTAGACCAGGTACGTCAGTTCTTGCGATGTCTAATTCCGTATTTGATACTAAAATCAAAAGAGAAATGAAATCTGAATCGGAATTGGTGGACAAATCTAAAAAGCACCAATACAAGGATGAATTCCCTAGCGCCTCAACTTCAAAAGGAGAAATAAAAGATGATTATCGGAAAGAGCATGGTATATTCAAGTTTTTTTCAACGCCAATTTCAGTTTCCTTTTGGTTTCTCCGTTTTTTTTAATTTTTTATAATACATTCGACCTAGTACATGAAGATGAAAAGTGGTACTGATCGATATAAATATTCGTTTCTTAGAATTACCACTTGTGATTTAATGATTGGGAATTGCTTTTTAAAAGATTGTTTCATATTCCTGTTATATTCTATCTGTTTACATTCCTTAGATAATATGTTTGTTGAATCAAATAAAAATCGCAAACAAGATCTGAAGCCAAAGAAAAATGCCTTGGATGAAATTATGGAAATGGAAGAACGTCGTAAGGAAAAGCGGAATAGACGAGACAATTGGCTTCATAAAGGGATTATTGTAAAAGTGCGTGTTTTTCCTTTCCACTTTTTGTGAATGAGTAGCAATACATAAAGTTCGCATGGAATTCGATTTGAACACATCGTGAATTTGTGGAATGACAATAGTGAAAGTCTAATAGTACACATCAGTACAACGTAAGCAATGTTTGCATCAGATGATACTAGTTTGGCAATGGCTGGTACCATGTGCTTTTCCCAAGATATTGGAAATGTGGGTAATATCACCTGTGCAGAATGAATACTGTTATAAGTCTCTATTATTTCTTTCTTTTACTTTTGGAATTCTAGATTACTACGAAAAAATTTGGCAATGATTTATACAAAGCAAAAGGCGTGATAAAGCAATTAGTGGACGATTTCACTGCCATTCTGGATGTGAACGGTTAGTTTGTTTGTTTGACTACGCATTTCCAGCTTTCAATTATTCCAATGACGAGATCCACGGTGAAAAATTTTAGAATGTATGCTGTTTAGTATACAGCTTTCTCAAGTTTTTTCAAGTTTCAAGTTTTTTTAAATAACCAAAAAATCTTAATTTTAAATTAAATTCTTGAAAAATTTAAATCTTAAATTTTTGAGTATCCAACATAACTGCAAAGTAATATCCGAAGCTTATACCGGTAGATTCATACTGAAATACTTACATTCCTACTGAAATTGAAGATGATATGCCTGAAAATTTTCACGAAATGTTTAGTTTTGCGTAATTTTACTAGTTTATTTTTTAATTTCGAAGATTTTTTGCACAGCAACTGACTTTGTACTGTAAAGGAACGCCATCGGCGCAGATAATTATCTCTCTAACAGGTCTACCGGTTGACTTAGCTAACTAATTTAGGGCGTCCAGTGGAGATCAGCCAAGAAAATGTTGAAACGGTAATACCTGCTGTGGGACGTGAGATGTTGGTTGTTAACGGAGCATATCGTGGAACGAAAGCTGTATTGCAAGCGATTGAAGAAAAGAAATTTGCCGTAGTCTTACGCCTTGATGAAGGTCTCGCTAAAGGAAGAGTTTTATGCTTACCATATGAGGATGTCTGCAAGCTCAAACAATGAAATACTTTGATACTTTTATCAGTGAGGTGGTATCTTACTCGAGGAGATCCCAATAGGATTTCTGGTATGTTAGTAGCTCTGCTGATTTTCCACTGACGTAATTTGAAGGTGTATAAGCCTGCTAAGAATATGCTGGCAGTATATTGTAGTCGGTTTTACGACATCTTAAAAATTAGCTTTGAGCTTGTGATGATAAATTAAATTATTCTCTCTTTTCCTTTGTCAAGAGCTAGCTAGTTCACTGTATAGTATTTCGAATTTTTTTTTTCTGAAATGAAAGTACCGATCTTTCTCGATTTGTACTGGGATTCTGAATAACCTCTCGAAGCACTCCTGGATATTGAGTGAATTGTTTATTTCATTTTCCTCTGTAGCTGAAGTCCGTCCAATCCTTTTTGATTCCATACAAACTGAGGAAGATCCCGGTTGTCATTGTAGTCGATGTAAAATTAGTTGTGGATTTGAAAGGTTCTTTTTTCTTTTCAAGGAAAAAACTGGGCAATTATGAAATTTTATGGACTAATGTCAAATATATTTTTGGAGGAAAAGAACGAAATAAAAAAAAAAGTGTTCCAGTGAATATATCAAATTCAGTAATTTTCAGTTAGGATTCTGACAAAATTCATGTTATCGCTTTTCATTCTGTTTCATTTGGTGCTAACATTTGCTGTGATCATTTTGATGCAGTAAATTTGATTCATTATATGAAGCTAGTGGTGTTGATTACAATGTTTATAGCTTCCTCTTGCTGTATGGTATTCTTTAAAGTTATTCTTGGAGAATCAGATCTGTCTTATTTATCCTACTTCTTCCAATGGTGCAGCGTTGAATTTCTTAATAAGGAGATTAAATCGTTGAAACATTTTTTAAAAGCATTTCGAAACTTTTCTTGAGGCTTTTATCAGAATTCTAATAAACAAGTGGATTTCGTAGAATCGAATCTCAACCTTCTCGTTAGTATAGCCACTGTAGCACTAAACTCTAACAGGTAATGTCTCCGAATGTGTCTCATATTTTTAGGCTAAAGAAAAAATTGATCGTATGTTGTTGCTGGCTACAGTTGAGAAATTCGTATAATTGCCTTAAACTGTCGTTTTACAGAAGAAGATGGTTTCCAAATAATGGCACCATTAGTTACTTCCCAGGAAGTGGAAGTAGACGATGTCCGAGCATGCATTATGTAATGCCAAATTACGTTTAATTAGTTGATCGAAGATTATGAAGTGCTCCTTACAGTTACTTGTATGATTGGATTAATGTTATTTAAGTGCATGAATGTAACTTGAAAATGCCGTCGAAAAAGAGCAGTAGCAAGGGCGCCACTGGAAGTGGCACTTCGAAAGGTGGTAATATGGGAAAGAAGGAATCCAAAGGTGGTACTGCCATCAAAGTTAGACATATTTTATGCGAAAAACAGGTGGATTTTTCACTTCAAACCATTGGTTTTGCTGTCTCTTCAAGAAAAGAAAAAACTGACACCATTGTTTTTTGCATGGATATTTTGATACTTTTGTCTTTTTGGCGGATATTTGGCAGTGTTTAAGCAACATGGTGGTAACAGATGAAAACTACTGCAGGGAAAAGCAATGGAAGCCATCGAGAAATTGAAATCTGGTTCGAAATTCAACGAAGTGGCTGCAAATTACAGTGAAGATAAGGCTAAATCGGGGGTAATGCATTTACTACTTGCAATGTTAGATTTTGGGTTTGAAAACAGATGATTCACATTAGTTTTTCTTCTTCTTTTTT